TACCTCTAAAAATCAATTTTGCATTGATCAATAAGACAGTCTGAGTTCTGATCTCCTCTTTAATCTTATTTTCTTGTTATCCTTTTGGATTTGTCTTTTTCATCACAGAACACCCAAAGCCAGGAGGAGGCATTCATCCTGGGAGCATCTGCTAAACAGCTCAGTGGGAAAAAAACACAGCTGACTCAGAGCCAAAACGGAGACTGCTTTCCAGCTGCTACCACCAAGCATTGCTTAGCAGTTCCCTGCTGCACAAAACTGAGGCTGTTTAGCTGTAGCAACCCTGTATTTGAGATTGGCCTTTCAGAAGATGTGAGAGGAATCCAGCTAAATCCTTCTTAGGCCCTAGGAGTTATTTCAACCCCTTCATTTGCTTCGTGTAATGAAAGTAAACCATGGGCTGTTTAATTAGCTAAATGATTGTATTGGGTGGTGTGTCTGCTATAATGAAAAGAGAAGGTAGGCATATCTAGGGTGCAGTGTATAAGAACAAGTGGTTTAAAAAAAAAATTTCGACCCCAAGAAAGTGTGGGAAGTGTAGACCTCTGAAATAACAGAATAACAGAGTTGGAAGGGACCTTGGAAGTCTCCCAGTCCAACTATCTGCTCAGGCAGGAAAGGTCTGAAATGATATAGGCCAGGGGTAGGCAACCTTGGCTCTTTTATGACTCGTGGACTTCAACTCCCAGAATTCCTCAGCCAGCATGGTTCAGCTTGGAAACCTCTCCCTTTCCCCTCAGCATGGCTGGCTCAGGAATTCTGGGAGTTGAAGTCCACGAGTCATAAAAAAGCCAACGTTGCCTACCCCTGGCCTATACCGTTTCAGACAAATGGCTGTCCAGTCTCTCTTTAAAAACTTCCAGTGTTGGAGCATCCACAGCTTCTGGAGGCAAGTTGTTCCACTGATCAATTGTTCTAATTGTCAGGAAGTTTCTCCTTAGTTCTAGACTGCTTCTCTCCTTGATTAGTTTCCATCCGTTGCTTCTTGTCCTGCCTTCAGGCTCTTTGGAGAATAGCTTGACTCCCTCTTCTTTGTGGCAACCCCTGAGATATTGGAAGACTGCTATCATGTCCCCCGCTCGTCCTTCTCTTCGTTAAACTAGACATACCAATTCCAGCAACCGTTCCTTATATGTTTTAGCCTCTAGTCCCTTAATCATCTTTGTTGCTCTTCTCTGTACTCTTTCTAGAGTCTCAACATCTTTTTTACATCGTGGTGACCAATGCTGGATGCAGTATTCCAAGTGTGGCCTTACCAAGGCATTTTAAAGTGGTTTTAACACTTCACATGATCTTGATTCTATCCCTCTGTTAATGCAGTCAAGGATAATTGTTACCACTGTCAACAGAGATGTAAGAAAAGTCTGTAGGTGGATCAAAATGAACCCATTACCTCTGGCATTCTGTTTGCTATCATGCCCAATCAGATATTCCCACACAAAACAAGCTTTTAGTTCTTTTGGTGTTTGTAACAAGGGCAAGAAGCTTACAACATTATGTTGGTGTTTTCTATTTTATATCTTTTTCTGTGAACAAGGCTGGAACAATTGCTCAGTGCTAAGAAAATTACCAACTCTGTTGTCTCAGCTGTACAGATGAAACAGAAATAAAGTGCATTCAGTTTAATAATAGCAGTCAGTGCACTTTTAAATAATGAATAAAATCAACACAATGCACTTTTCAATAATCTGTTCCACAAGCTTTCTGAAACAAAAAAAAAAGTTGATGCTCTCTGAAAATGTTTCCATTTATGTGGTTAGGTTGACCGCTCAGAGACAGGACCTCCATAAAATCACTCTCTTACCCAAAAGGCACTGTTCCAAGATGGAATCTATATCGGCAACGGTGATGGCACCAGTTAAGAAAAGCAATGCTTCTTTACTGATTTAAGTGTTACGTTCCAGCTGATGAGCTGTATACGTTTGAATAGCTCATAGACCAAATGATGATCCAATACCAATAAAATTCAGCAGCAAAACTGGCTGATTATCTGATTATTCTTAATCCTTGTGCACTTTTCAAAGTAACCTGAAATCAGCCTTCCAAAGCCTTTTCATTTTGCCATTGAAATTCATCACTGTGATTTTTGCTCTTTGGGGTACTTGGGGGGCAGGGAAGATGAGGTTAGAAATGGGAATTGTTGGCTTTCCAATCAGAGAGCTGAACTGCAACCTCGACTGCTGAAAAGTTGCCTGCCATAGTGCTAAACTGATTATCCTTGGGCAATAATCCAGATAGCTTTCCCTTTTTAAAAGAGAATTATTCTTTGAAAGGTAAGATAATTGATGTCCAAAGAAGAGGTGGATGCAATCTTCTCTATATTTTGGAAACCATCTCCAAGTGAAATGGGGAAACTAATTATTCATCCCATGGAGATGATACACCCAATTAGGTTAATTGCCTTTTCAGTCTGTGTTCTCCAAGCGAAATGTTTGCATATCCTGTAAGATCCAGGCCCCTAAGGTAGCTTGCATATGCACAATAAGAAAAAAAGCAGACAAAAATCTCAAATGCAAATTATGTTATGATATAGTATGAAAATGAGACAAATCCCATGGTTTCTGTTCTTTGATTGCAATAAACTGTGATGGAACCTCATTAAAATTTAATTTATTTATATATTTCCTTCAGAGGGTAGAATTGGAGTTGCCTATATAGATTTTCTCCATCCTGTACTATCGATTATATTTTCAGATCAATTTTTGTGGGATAAATTAATCTGGGCTTCTATAAATATTGCTTCGGGACTATCGCAAACACCTGGACATCTTTTCAGAGGTGTAGATAGCTTCCAGAAATCCCCAGCAGCATGGCAATTAATTAATTAATTAATTAATTCTAGGAATTCCAATCAACAGGTCTGGAAATAGCCCATGTTTGGGAAACCTGACTTATAAATTTGCTTACATATTTGACCTTGGGGGTGCACTGTATATATTGTGAGATAAGAAAATTTAAGGTGTGTATACACAGTATGACATGACATACTGTACAGCAGAGGTCCCCAATGTTTTGGGTACCAGGGACCGGTTCCGTGGAGAAAAGTTTTGTGTGCTGCCTGCATCCCGTGGATGGGGCTTTGCTTGTTTGTACGGACTGGTTGCTGGCATGCTGCAGCCTGGTACTGGTCCACAGACTGGGGGTTGCCAAAGGTAACTAGGCCTGGTTCTAGAACAGGGATCTTCAAACTTGGCACTTTTAAGACTTATGGACTTCAACTCCCAGAATTCTTCAGCCATCATGGCTGGTTGAGGAATTCTGGGAGTTGGAAGTCCACGGGTCTTAAAATTGCTAAGTTTGTAGACCTCTGTTCTAGAACAATGTTTCTCAAACTTTGCAACTTTTAAGATGTGTGTATTTTAGCATGCTTTCTGAAGAATTCTGGGAGTTGAAGTCTACCCATTTTAATGTTGCCAAGGTTGAGAAAGCTCTGGTCTAGACCATACTTATATGAGAAATTACTGCTGTCTCTGGTGGAACATGGGCTATAAATGTAATTACTGTTTAGTTGGATATCATAACCAAGGAAAAATGGTGGAAGTGGCCTTTTTTAAAAACATAAACTCTGAATCTATAAACATCTACAATGTGTTATGAACTAGTTATCTGAACTCATTGGAACGTGGTTCTTGATTCCAAGCAGCCATAATCCACCAGTGAGCTGTGTTGTATGTTGTGCAATAGGCAAAATAATACAAAATTATCAAAGAAAGAAAAGAAAGACTATTTAATAAATCAAATTGCAATAAACTCTTCAGTAAATGAAAAAAATGAAACCACTTTATTAATAGTTCATAATGGAGAAGATAGTTCTCTGCCTAATTTGTTAGTGTACCCTATTTGTAAACTTCCATAAGGATTATAAAACGTTACACTTTTGATCAATAGTGTCAAATTGTGCCAAAGGGTGGGGGTGGCATTGCAAGCCAACCCCTCTGCTTTAGCTTGAATCATAATACTTCAACTGCCATCATGCAGATTTTGATCCCTGTCCCATATACCAGGGGTTTCCAACCCCCAGTCCATGGACCAGTATTGGGCCACAGCATGCCAGCAATTGATCTGCACAAAAAAACAAAGCCCCATCTGCGGGATGTCGTCAGCACACAAACCACGCACTCTCCGGTCCGTGGAAAAACCTCTCTCCACAGAACCGGTTCCTGGTGCCCAAAAGATTGAGGACCCCTACCATATACCACTGCAATACTGCATGAGTAGTCTTTGACTACTTTGACTTAACAACCATTCATTCAGCAACCGTTTGAAGTTACACCATTCCTTGAATTACAACGGTCGCAGCATCCCCACGATGACATGATCAAAATTTGCTCACTTGGCAATCAGCATGTACATAGAATGGCTGCAGTGCCCCGGGGCCATGTGATCGCCATTTGCAACCTTCCCAACTGGTTTCCAACAAGTTCAATGGAAGAAGCTGGATTCACTTAATGACCACCTGATCCATTTAACAGCTGCAGCAATTTTGCTTAACGACATTGGAAAAAAAGGGTGTTAAAATCTGGCACAACTCACTTAACAAGCTCATTGCTTTGCAATGGAAATTCTGGTCCCAATTTTAGTTATAAGTGGAGGACTATCTGTAATTCAGTCTACATTACAATATTAAATATGTTCGAGCACCTGTATATGTAGAATAACAAGATAAATAACATCGTTGAATGGGGATGGTACTTATCAAAAATGCTTTAAGAAAATTAGCAGTGATTTTTCTTTTAAATGTTTTTAAAAGACTGCGGTGGGCTTAAGTTCAGCCAGATTCCATAAAATAGCTTGGGAAACAACCTGAGGAGATAATAGCCTTAAAGGGTTTTGGGGATCTATCATTAATCTTAAAGAATCAGAGGACGTGGTTTTCTGCTGAAGTTCTTTTTCCCATCTTATTGAGTAAAGGACAGTCAGACAACCCCCCCCCCAGTTGCAAATTGGGTGATGTTTTCTGCCCCATCCTTTTCCTACACCTTCCTCCAACTCTTTCCCAGATGGCTTCTGCAACAGATGCTCGCTATGGCCAAAAGGAGTCCTCAGACCAGAACTTTGACTACATGTTCAAGATCCTGATCATCGGCAATAGCAGCGTTGGGAAGACTTCCTTCCTCTTCCGGTACGCCGATGACTCCTTCACTCCGGCTTTCGTCAGCACCGTTGGCATTGACTTCAAAGTGAAAACTATCTATCGCAATGACAAGCGCATTAAACTGCAAATCTGGGTAAGGAAGCAGGTGGAAGCTGCCTTGCCTTATAGCAGTGTTTCTCAGCTTTAGCAACTTTAAGACATGTGGACTCAACTCCCAGATTCCCCATGCTACCTGGGGAATTCTGGGCATTTAGGTCCGCATGTTTAAAGTTGCAAAGGTTGAGAAAAACTGCCTTGCAGGATTGCTTGCAAGCTTTACCAGAATAATTTCTTTCTGGCAGAAAATATTGCCAGCAGAAGGATTGGGGTCCCTGGGATGGCTGGGAAAGAGCCTAAAGGGGTCAAAGATCTTGCCAACTGAATTAAACAATATAAATATAATTAGACTAGTACTCTCTTTTTGTGCGAGGAAGTGTCAGCCTTTCCAGATAAAGCAGGCAGGAAATATGATTAAATCTGATGAAATGTGCACTAGGAGCAGAGGGAAGAATTTAACCAACTCATAGCTTCCCCAGAAAGGCACACAAATCAAGAGCCCAATCGGTCCTGAGCTGGATGGGGAGGAGAGAAGAGGTTCAGGATAACCACATCCTAGAATATCTCAGGATAAAGAGCCGTGGTAGCACAGTGGTTAGAATGCAGTATTGCAGGCTCATTCTGCCGACTGCCAGCAGTTCAATTCTCACCACCTCAAGGTTGACTCTGCCTTCCATCCTTCCGAGGTTGGTAAAATGAGGACCCAGATTGTTGGGGACAATAGGCTGACTCTGTAAACCTCTTAGAAAGGATTGTAAAACACCATGAAGTGGGATATAAGACTAAGTGCTATTGCTATTGGTATATTTAATAGTAGAGAAATTTATAGCTTTAGTTTGTCAAGATTCTGTCTATTAGGTGTAAGCAAATAAAGGATTTAGTTGGCTGTCACTGTCTTGTCATTGGGCTTAGGCCTGACATCAGAGGAGCCAATTCTACTTTATTGTAAGGTTTCATTAATAGAATTTTGCAATACTGTCTCTTTTTACACTATCTCTTTTTACAGCCTGCTCAATTAGGATAGGTCCTTCCTAATTTTCTTTCTCTGACTGTTAAGCAAATGTAGGTTCCTCCCTTTCCTATCTGATCAGTATTTCTTCTCCTCCATCTCTCAAGATCGTTCCCACATACCATTACATTAAGGTTCTTGTTAAACAATATTGGATTACCTTTCAGTGCTGTTATAAGGATTACAAAAATACTCTGAAAACTTTGAATCCATTTGAGTTGGATGGCTAATACATTTAAATAATTATTTTTTTAAAAAAAACACCTTTTTTGGAAAACGAAAGCATGCTTAAGTTTTAATTACCATCACAAGAAATAGTCCTTGTATAATAACTGGCCACAATTAGGGGAAAACATTTAGAGTAGAAATTCCCAACCTTGGCAACCTTCCCAACCACACTTTTCCAAAAAAAAACTATGGTTTTTCCCCCCCAGGCATATGGATTTTAACTCCCAGAATTCTACAGTATTACTGAGAATTCTGGGAGTTGAAATCCACTCACCTTCAATTTGCTAAGATAGGGAAAAATTGTAGAGTATGGCAAATTCCATAGGTTACTTTTAAATACTATAAAAAGTATTTCAAAGCCATCTTTTGTTTTTCCCAGGATACAGCAGGGCAGGAACGATACCGGACTATCACCACTGCCTATTATCGAGGGGCAATGGGTTTCATTTTGATGTATGACATCACCAATGAAGAATCCTTCAATGCTGTCCAGGATTGGTGAGTGAAAAGTTTTTAGGACTAGCTTTAATTAATTCTGAAACTTATAATAATTTTTTTTTTTATTGAAAGTTTTATAAATTTTACAAAAAGACAAAAACAATACAAAACAAAAGACAACATATACAAAAAAGAAACTAAACATTACATATATATATAAAAAAAAAAACCCCATCCCCCACCCCTCACAAAAACCCTCCCTTCCCCCCCCTGAGCTTCCCAGAGCAGAATATAGGCTTAATTAAAAATTAAGAAATAAAAATAAAAAATTAAATTAAAAAATTTATATTTATATATATATAAAAAATATATCTATATATATATATAAAAATAAAACTTATAAAAAAGCTATGTGATATTTTTGTATACCCAATCTAAATTGTATAAATTTTATCCATTTGTCCCAAACAGCAAGGAACTTCTCTTGCGTTTGTTGCTTTAAGAAAGCCGAAATCTTTGCCATTTCCGCCAGATAAGCTACTTTAAGAAACCATTCCTGCAATGTAGGCAAAGATTCCTTCTTCCAATATTGTCCTACTAACAGCCTAGCGGCTGTAATCAAATTTAACATCAATACAACCTCCTTTGTATCACAATCTGTAACAATGCCTAACAAAAATAATTGCGGAGTAAATTTTACCCTCCTTCTAAAAATTCTCTGGATATTCCACCATATTTTGATCCAAAATGCTTTTATCTCTCTGCATGACCACCAAATATGATAATAGGAAGCATCCTTATAACCACATCTCCAACATTTGGGTTGCACGTCAGGGTACATAAGAGACATTTTTTGTGGATCAAGGTGCCATCTATAAAACATTTTATAAAAATTCTCCCTAAGGTTCTGTGCTTGTGTAAATTTGACATTTCTCACCCAAATGGTTTCCCAAATGTCCAATGAGACTGGGACACCAAAATTCTGCGCCCATCTAATCATACAATCTTTAATTAATTCCGTTTCTGAATCCATTTCAACTAATACCCCATAAATTCTCTTGATATGAGTTTGTCTTTGATCCTTGACTTGCTTAATAAGATTTCCATCTTCTCTAAGAAAACCCAATTTACAATCCACCTTCCATTTATCTACTAGTTGCCTATATTGAAACCAAGAATAAATAATATTTTCTTGCGCTAAATCTTCCCGTAATCTTAACTGCCAGTTTTGCCCATCCCATCTAAGTAACTGACTATAAGACACCATGTCCATTTTTACTCCTCTTTTTATTCCTTCTATCGCATGCCAAGGTATAGCCCATAATGGAACTTTAAAATCACTTTTATAATATTTTCTCCAAATCCTAAGTAAAGAAATTCTTAAAATATGAGATTTAAAGACCCAGTCCATTTTTTTATTAAATATTAAATAGGCATGCCACCCATAAAGTAAATCCCATCCCTCTAAATGAAGTATCTCAGGATTTGTCAAATTTACCCAATCACTGATTAGTGTTAAGACCACCGCATCGTAATATAATTTCAAATTTGGTACCTTAAGTCCACCCCTCTCACGGAAGTCTTGCATAATTTTAAACTTAACCCTTGGCTTTTTCCCTGCCCAAATAAATTTATTAAGACCCTTCTGCCACTCACTTAAATTAATCTCATTTTTCAAAATCGGTAACATTTGAAACAAAAAAAGAAACTTGGGTAGAATATTCATTTTTATCACTGCAATTCTTCCCATGAGGGATAATTGCAACTTCTCCCAATTCTTCAAGTCCTTCTGTACCCTGACCCACAACCTTTCATAATTATTTTTAAATAATTTTACATTAGAAACAGACAACATCACCCCCAAATATTTTACCTTATTAACAATCTCAAAACCCGTCAAGTTAGCCAAAATCTGCTTCTCCTGACTAGACATATTTTTAGGTAAGATTTTAGTCTTATTTACATTAATCTTGAAACCCGAAACCAAACCATAATGATGAATCAACTGTAATAAGTTTACTGCAGAATAATCAGGTTGCGACAAAGTAACAACCAAGTCATCCGCAAAAGCTCTCAACTTATATTCTTTTTTGTTAACTTCTATTCCTTTAATTTCCTGAGACTCTCGAATTTTGATCAATAATATTTCCAGTGTTAAAACAAACAACAATGGCGATAAAGGACACCCCTGTCTAGTACCTTTCTCTATTGTAAAAACCTCCGACAAACCTCCATTAACAATAAGTTGTGCCATTTGTTTTTGATATATTACCGTAAGAGCTTGTAATATCTTTTCGCCAAAATTCATTTCTTCCATTACTCTTAGCATAAAATGCCAATTCAATTGATCAAATGCTTTTTCAGCATCTAAAAATATGAGCCCTGCAGGAACTTGGTTGTTCTTGTCTAAATATTCTAATAGATTAATAATTTGTCTAACATTATTTTTCATATACCTTCCTGTTATAAACCCTGATTGATCTTTATGCACAAGATGATGCGCCACCCTCATAAGCCTATTTACCAAGACTTATAATAATTTTAATATTCAGATGTTCTCCAAAAATTCTTTTAAACAAAGGCAGCTGGCATTTGAACAACCCATGGATCAAATTGACATCTTCAGTATGTTTACTTATCACATTCTATCCAAGCTCCCAAAGTTTATTTTTATTTGTTTTATTTGTATGCCACTGTTAATTATTTTTACAAAATAACTCAAGGTGGTGAGCATATCCAACACACTTTCCTTCTCCTATTTTCCCCACAACAACAACTCTGTGAAGTGGGTTGAGCTGAGAGAGAGGGACTGGCCCAGAGTCACCCAGCCGGCTTTCATGGCTAAAGCAGGACTGGAGGTCACAATCTCCTGTTTTCAAACCTGGCACCTTAACCACTAGATTAAACTAGTTCTCTTTCTGAGTTACTTATATCTTTCTAACAATACCTTGTGGTTACTTTTGCTCTCTAGTCTTATTTAATTTAGGTAGGACAGAATAGAAAAGTATAAAATGCCTTAGATGCTCATTAGGTAATCTTTGTTTAGCAACTGCAATTGGGCCTAATAATAGTAGTAATAATTATTATTATTATTATTATTATTATTATTATTATTATTATTTAAAAAGTTGGAAGGGACCTTGGAGATCATCTAATCCAACCCCCTGCTCAGGCAGGAAACCCTATACCATTTCAAACAAATGGCTGTCCAGTCTCTTCTTTAAAAGTTCCATGTTGGAGCATTCACCGCTTCTGGAGGCAGGTTGTTCCACTGGTTAATTGTTCTAACTGTCAGGAAGTTTCTCCTTAGTTCTAGGTTGCTTCTCTCTTTGGTTAGTTTCCACTCGTTGCTTCTGCTCGAGGTAAGGAGCCTATTTTTGACCAAAGAGTTGAACTCACTCAAAGAAAGTTGTATCCTAGCAGTATCCTACTATCCTGACTATTGATTCAAGTGGACAGGAAATTTTCCATAATTCTCGGTTGCTCCTCTCTTTGATTAACCATGTGAACTGCAACAGTTCAAGTTTATTTAAACCTTTTTTTTTTGCTTTTATAGTGTCAAAAAGCTATGACTCCAACAGCCAGCTGAGCCCAAATAATAATAAAGTTGGAAGGGACCTTGGAGGTCATCTAGTCCAACCCCCTGCTCAGGCAGGAAACCCTATACCATTTCAGACAAATGGCTGTCCAGTCTCTTCTTAAAAACTTCCACTGTTGGAGTATTCACCGCTTCTGGAGGCAGGTTGTTCCACTGGTTAATTGTTCTAACTGTCAGGAAGTTTCTCCTTAGTTCTAGTTGCTTCTCTCCTTGATTAGTTTCCACCCGTTGCTTCTTGTCCTGCCTTCAGGCGCTTTGGAATGGTAGGGAAGGTTTCTGACACTTGATTTGCGAGAAAGAGACTGGACATCTATTTGTCTGAAATAGTATAACGGCTCCTGCTTGAGTAGAGGGTTGGAGTAGAAGACTTCCAAAGTCCCTTCTAACCCTGATGATGATGAGGAAGCCAGCTACAAGGATAAATCATATAGTCCTTTCCCCCCACTTCTCTGCTGTTTGGAATACTTTCCCCATTGCTGGGATAATTAGCAAGAAGACTAATATTTGTATTTACATTTATTGGAGAGGAAGGGGTTACAAGAAAATAAGCAGGCACACACAGTAAAAAGAATGTGCTAGCACTGGCTGTTTGCCTAGTGCGCTGGGTCTCTATGCAGCCAAATGCTTAAGAGGCAAAAATAAATCTTCAGCATGAAATTGATTAGAGGTCCTTGTCAGTTAGGAGGCAGCATTTGAGAGGCAGTCCAGAGTTCTAATCAATTAATTAAGGTCAGAGAGAGCTGAGCTTGTTAACTTGGGGTATTTTCTAGGGAAATAATGTGCTGCTGAAAAAAACAGTTCAGGAAGAGATATCTTGTTGACGCAAGCTCTCTTCTCTGTGAGGGAGATAAAAGAAAAAAACCAGGCACAAGGCAATGCCTATTACCTGACTGTAATGGTGAACAGATGACTGAGAAATGCTCAAAGGTCATACATGTGAGTATTGGTTGCAAAATTACTTTTTCGTCACTGCGGAACCTGCAAATTGAGCCGTGGTGACGCAGGGGTTAGAATGCAGTATTGCAGGTGAACTCTGCCCACAGCCAGGAGTTCAATCCTGATGGGGCTCAAGGTTGATTCAGCCTTCCATCTTTCCAAGGTTGGTAAAATGAGGACCCAGGTTGTTGGGGAAAATAAGCTGACATTTGTAAACCACTCAGAGAGTGCTGTAAAGCTCTGTGAAGCGGTATATATAAGTCTAAGTCAGGGGTGTCAAACTGCCGGCCCACGGGCCGGTTTCATCATACTGAAGCCGCGCTCACCCCATTGCCGGCAGTGCAAAGAGTTGTGATACGTTGCAACGCGTCACACCACGTGGTGAGTTTGACACCTGTGGTCTAAGTGCTGTTGCTATTGCTAGTACAAATGATTGCTCTCTGAGGCAGTTGCTAAACAAGGACTACCAGTATTTTATTGCATTCCTGTTGATTTGAGCAAGAATTTGAGTAGTGTATCTTCATGATGAATCTCTAGGTAGATGATACCTGTATTAGGTCCAACCAACTGACATAAAATTACATGTAGCTTAGTTTTTAGACTTTCCTTGCTTCTTTTGTATCTTATTTTTTGAACAATTGTGCTTGAAGGCTTCTCCAGAATTCTTAAACTTGCACACCCTTTTGTGACATTTTGTTGGATCCCAATAAAAATCTTGCCTGCCTATAGACATTTTCCCCCTGGAACAAACATGCTTGTGATTACTTTTATGACTACAACTGAAATAAGCTCTTGTTTTTCCCTCCCATCCCCATATTAAGAAGTACTAACTGAATATAACTGAGTTTGTCACTCCAACTTCAGGTCAACTCAGATCAAAACCTACTCGTGGGATAATGCCCAGGTACTGTTGGTGGGTAACAAGTGTGACATGGAAGATGAGAGGGTTGTGTCATCAGAACGAGGACGTCAGCTTGCTGAGCACTTGGGTAAGTGAACCACAGTTGGAATGACATATATTTGAGCTATAAAGATGAGTTTGATAAATAATATAGAAGTGGAATTTCAAGTTTTCAGGGTTCAAGGAAAAAATTGCCTCCAGGAAAACAGAGGCTTTATATGGCTAGTGTGGATTAAATAAATTGTGCAAAACAAATTTATATAAGAGATACATTTGCATAATATATGCACAGTGTATAGAAAAAATGTAGGTAGCTAATCTTTTTGGAACCATAGATAGGAAGCTGTTATTAAATGAATTAGATGCAGGTTCAAGATAAAAAAAAAATAAGACATTTGTTACAACATCTATCAGTAGTTTTTAAGATTGGTTGCTGAGATGTCTTTAAAAGGAGATTAGATAATTTAACAGAGGAAGTACAGGGAATAAATGGGATATCACCTAAAAGAGATCTTGAAACTTTAGAAATTGTGCTTTAATTATTAGCTGATACTGTTGTTTCAAGACTTGTTTGTGGCTGGATCCTTATTAGATATAAAATGCTGAACTTGATTAACTCACCTTGATGTTCTGGATTTCATAAAATCATATTTATAATAGAAGGGAGATATCTTTTCAGGTACTTAAAGAAGGCCATTACACCTGTCCATTCTCAAGGATAAACATTTCATCGTCCTTCAATTACTCTTCACAGGACTTAATTTCTAGTCTTCTGATCTCCATTTTTTTCCCTGAACCTCTTGCAATTTCCCTGAATCCTTTTTAAATATGGTGCCCATATTTTAACAATACTTAAGGTGAGGGAACACTAACAGTTCATGATTGAACATCTACACTATTTGCACTTAGGGTTTTGGCCGCTAAATTACACTGCTTGTTCCTACTCAGTTTGCAAGTAACTTGTATTCCAAGGTTTTTTCATAGGTACAACTGCCAAGCCAGCTTTATGTCTCTATTTAATTTTTATTTTCCAGATGAATAACTTGGCATTAATTTTAGTTCTTTCCCTTCCAACCCATGAGACTAACGTACCAAATTATTTTATTTCAGTCTTCTCTTTATTTTGTCCTTTATTTATTAAATATATATGCCACCCATCTCACTATGTTGTTGTTGTTAATTGCAAAGTCATGTCCAACCCATTGTGAACCCATGGATAACGTTCCTCCAGGTCTTCCTGTCCTCTACCATCTTCTGGAGTCCATTTAAGTTCACACCTACTGCTTCAGTGACTCCATCTAGCCACCTCCGTCTCTGTCATCCCCTTCTTCTATTGCCCTTAATCTTTCCCAGCATTAGGCTCTTCTCCAGTGAGTCCTTCCTTCTCATTAGGTGGCCAAAGTATTTGAGTTTCAACTTCAGGATCTGGCCTTCTAAAGAGCAGTTGGGGTTGATCTCTTCTAGGACTGATCGGTTTGAACGTCTTGCATTCCAAGGGACTCGCAGGAGTCTTCTCCAGCACCATAGTTCAAAGGCCTCAATTCTTTGTCGCTCAGCCTTTCTTATGGTCCAACTTCCACATCCATACATTGCAACTGGGAAAACCATGGCCTTGACTATACGCACTTTTGTTGGCAGGGTGATGTCACTGCTTTTTAGTATGCTATCTAGATTTGCCATAGCTTTCCTCCCCAGGAACAAGCGTCTTTTAATTTCTTGGCTGCAGTCCCCATCTGAGGTGATCTTTGAGCCCAGAAAAATAAAATCTGTCACTACCTCCATTTCTTCCCCATCTATTTGCCAGGAATTGAGAGGGCCGGATGCCATGATTTTGGTTTTCTTAATGTTGAGTTTCAAGCCAACTTTTGCACTCTCCTTCTTCACCCGCATCAAGAGGCTCTTTAGTTCCTCTTCACTTTCTGCCATTAGAGTGGTATCATCTGCATATGTTAGGTTGTTGATATTTCTCCCGGCAATCTTAATTCCAACTTTTGATTCATCTAGCCCTACCTTTCTCATGATGAGCTCTGCATATAAGTTAAATAGGCAGGGCAACAGTATACAGCCTTGCCAGACTCCTTTCCCAATTTTGAACCAATCAGTGGTTCCATGTCCAGTTCTCACTATTGCCTCTACTTAATTTTCCCACTCATTTGTGTCATTTGCAAATTAGATAACTATTTTTTCTGCCCCTTCATGCTAATCATGAATTAAAGATGATGAGTACAAAGCTTAGGATTGAAGCTTGGTTGTCTTATTAGACAGATTTCTCTGGTTCAATAAATTTATAAGATCTCTCCAATGTGATTTTGAGTCAACTGCATATTCAGCTTGCTCTTAACAAGCTTGCTAATGAGAACATTATGAGGTATTTTCTCAATGCTTTGCTGAAATCGAGATATATGATATCTACATCATTCACACAGTCTACTAAGAAAGTTACTAAGTTTATAAAAAGGGTAAGGCTCATTAGGCAAAACTTGTTCTTAATAAAATACACACTGACCTCTGCTAAATCACTTCATTGTTTGCAAGAGGCTGATGGAATTCCTTTTTTACCCCCCTGGAAATAAATTGGTCTTTGATTTTTCTCAAGGCCTTCTGACTGTCCTGTGTTTCTCCTTCCTGTTCTTGTACATGCATTTTTGTATTTTGTCTTTTCCCTTCCTCCAGGATTTGAATTCTTCGAGGCCAGCGCGAAGGACAACATTAATGTGAAGCAAACCTTTGAACGTTTGGTCGATATCATTTGTGAAAAGATGTCTGAGTCACTGGATGCAGCTGATCCAGCTGTGACCGGTGCCAAGCAGGGCCCACAACTGACCGATCAACAGGCTCCCTCGCACCAGGATTGTGCCTGTTAAGAGACTTTGGTGTGGATGCCCTGACTTTTCCTGTCCCACCCACCTTGCCTGCCTCGTGTCTTGCAGTAATCAGAGCCCCTAGATTATTGACAGTTTGTGCTCTCTGTCTTCCCTACCGCCACCGCCACCACACACCATTTAGCTATCCCATTGCTTATCCTTTTGGGGTAGGTGGTCAAGACTCAAACCCAGAGCTTCTCCACCTCTCTGTGTGGGCCTTTGAATGCTTCAAAAGTTTCTCCCTTTAATCTTTGGGTTGATAGAAGCTCTATCTTCCTGTATCCCCCCTTCCCCAGGGTCAGATTTGATCAGCGTGAAAAAGAGGGTGGGGGCAGTGCTAGAACTTTTAACTATATATTTATTTATATATTTATAATGTTCCCATTTACACATTTGAACATCCTTTCCCTCTTCCTGCTTCGTAAGCGCCATGATCCCACTGCATTTTCCTGCACTGAGTATGGACAAAAATAGGCTGAAGCTGATGTCCCAAGATTCAAGGAGATCTGGCTGTGTTTTTATAGAAAGGGAAATATATCTGTCAGAAGCATCTATCTCTTTCTTCCTGACCACTGATCATGGGCTATAGAGAAAAAATAAAATTGTTCAGGCAAACTGAGTTATCTGGAAACTATCCCATTACCAGCTCTGAATTGAGCTAGATTTTGTAATGCTGTGAAGTGAGATTAACCTCAATGCTCCCTCTGGCTTAGCTCCAGTTCATGCCTGCTTCTTGCATGCTGTTTCTTCTACCATGAATGAAAACAATAGGTTTTAAGGTGAATGCCTTTCTTCACAGAATGGCAGGAATTTCCAGCTAAAAACTGTACTTCTTCTCACATTGGATTCTCTAGGTCTGGTTGAACCTGCTCACTTAGCAAGAAGAGGCTTGCATGGGTGGATCCTTTTCCATTCAGATAGAAGAGGAGGAAGGCCTTCCTGTATTTAGAAGGTGACCATATTTGGAGAAAGGACAGAGTAGATCCTTTTGCTCAACCAGCAAGGAATTTGTAATGGTGGGATTGCTCTCCTACTTGCAGTCTGCTATGGCCTAGTCTACACCCACATTTTCCAGCTTCTCTCCTTGAGAAAGACAGGGCTAAATTGGAACCAAGGCTCACTGGCTGGCTGGTTATAAGAAAGAGGTGCCCTTTGGGCTATGTGTAGCAAAGCTCCTCACCTGCCCGGCAACACTGAAGGTGAAAGTAGATTGGAGAAGTTCTGGTGCCATTCAGTTGCCCAGCAAACGTTGGTTCTCCCACTTTCACCTTGCCGAGTGTATATACACCTGCTTACTCCTCTTCCCGTCTTCCTCGGTGTACAGAAAACGAAAAAGAAAAAAAAAAAAGCAATCTCTCCAGTTACATGTAAATAGAAGTAGCTGGTGATGTTATGTGTGTATGGACCTTTCATTGCTGTGTTGTGATTTGTGTTGGTGTTTTTAGTTTGTTATTTTTAAAATAAGTCACCCTACCTGATGGGTTTTCACGGAACTATGTATTGATTTAAGAGGAGAAAGGTGGAGAGGCAGCTGGAAAACCCATCTTGGCTGATCTAAAAACCACATGAGAAAGTCAAAGAGTTCTTTGTCATTTTGGAATGGTTTCTCCACTGCCTTCCTTTATCTTAAACAGACCTGAGTTTGCAGGGGCTAAGTTGAACCTGATGTTACATTCCCCTCAGTCCAGCATCCTTTTTCCCTAGCATGGACTGGGGCAGGTTGGGGTTGAATTCTGTCAACAGCCACTGTTACCTTACTCTTACCTGTACTCCTATTCCCCCTTCCCCATTGCTATCCTTAATTTATTTTTCATGGAAGCTCTATAAGTTTGTTTTACAAATTCTTGGACACCATCTGCCCTCTCTCTCTCTCTCTCTCTCTCTCTCTCTCTCTCTCTCTCTCTCTCTCTCTCTCTCTCTCTTTTTGAAGTTTACTTTAATGGAAAAAATATGCTGTACTGTATTTAACAAAACAAAACAAAACCTGTCAGAAGTGTCAAATAAATTCAGTTTCCTAAAATGAGCAAACAAAAATCACTGTACTAAGGAGATATTGTGAAGAAATAAAATGGCTAATCACAAAAGCGTTTGATGTCAGAGTTCCTGTGAGGGAAATACAATATAATTTTGCCAGAAACAGTAGTAATTAGGGATCAGGGAAAACTATCAAGGATGCAGATAAAAAATACTTTCCCAGTCTAGATCATTCAAAGAGGTACTTACAGCACAGTATACATATTCAGATCCACCAGATTCATTGATAAGGAAATATAATCTTGGGCGGGAGAATAACTGCACAAGATAGCTGGCTCTATCTTCTTGTAGATAGAAAGATTTGGTGGTTGCAATTTATTATTGCATTTTGCAGAGATGCAGAATTGACCTTTTCTGAAGAATCAATGTTGTGGAACCTCTGAGATAATTTCCATTTATCTTCTGGACCATGTCAGTCTGCCCACCATAGCTGTGGTCCAGCAGATTTCCTAGAACGGGTGGGGAACCTTGGCTCTTTTATGACTTGTGGACTTCAACTCCCAGAATTCCTGAGTCAGTATGGCTAGTTCAGGAATTCTGGGTACTGAAGTCCACAAGTCATAAAACAGCCAAGGTTGCCTACCCCTGGACTAGTTTAACGAAGAGAAGGAATAGGGATGACATGATAGCAGTCTTCTAGTATTTGAGGGGCTGTCACAGAAAAGAGGGGGTCAGCCTATTTTCCAAAGCACCTGAAGGCATGTCAAGAAGTAACGGATGGAAGTTTAACAAAGAGAGATCCAACATAGAACTGAGGAGAAACTGAGGACGGTGAGAACAATTAACCAGTGGAATGGTTGGCCTTCAGAAGTTATGGATCTCCATCGCTGGAGGTTTTTGTTTTTCGTCTTTTTGCAGGTTGAAGTCCACAAGTCATAAAAGAGCCAAGGTTCCCCACCCCTGTCCTAGAAGTTAGCTTTAATCAGAATGATAAGCTTTGCATAGATCAACATTATAGTTACAAGTAGTCCTCCACTTAACAACCACAATTGAGCCCAAAATTTCTTTTGTTAAGTGAGACATTTATTGAGTTTTGCCCCATTTTAGACATTTCTTGCCACAGCTGTAAAATGAATCACTGCAGGTGTTAAGTTAGTAACCTGGTTGTTAAGTGATAAAGTCCTAAAAAGTGATCCTGGGACACAGCAGCCATCATAAATATGAACCAGTTGCCAAGTGTCTGAATTTTGATCACATGATCATGGGGACGCTGCCAAGGTTGTAACTGAAAAATGGTCATAAAATATTTTTTTCAGTGCTGTTGTAACTCAAGAACTACCTTTATATCCTATCATCTTTCTCAGGCAAGACAAGTCACCCAGCTTATTTTCAACAATCCTATAGATATGTTGGGTTGAGGGTGGAGCTCAAGACCATCTGCTGAGCACTGTGGCTAAGTGAGAACTTGAGCCTAAGTCCCCTCTGTTCAAATGTAGCATTTTAATCACTGAAATATAACAACAATAATAACAATAATAATAATAGTTGGAAGGGACCTTGGAGGTCTTCTAGTCCAACCCCCTGCTCAGGCAGGAGACCCTATACCAGTGATGGCAAACCTTTTAAAGACCGAGTGCCCAAACTGCAACCCAAAACCCACTTATACATCGTCCAGTGCCAGGTGGGTATGGCCCATTGGGTGGGCGTGGCTGCAGTGGTAACGGCAGACTTGGTGGGACTAAAAAGTTCAATCAATCAATTCCAACTTTGCAAGAACTTTTTTTTCCCCGCGAGAAGTTGAAATTGACTGATTGAACCTTTTTTTTTTTTTGCACATGGCGGCGGAGGCCTAAAGCGAAAAGGTTTTATAAAACCCAGCTGAAGGCCTAGGACTGGGGCGATGGCATGTGTGCCCACAGAGAAGGCTCTGAGTGCCGCCTCTGGCACCTGTGCCATAGATTTGCCACCACTGCCCTATACCATTTCAGACAAATGGTTGTCTAGTCCCTTCTTAAAAACTTTCAGTGCTGGAGCATCCACAACTTTGGTGAATAACATGACCCCCTCTTCTTTGTGGCAGCCCCTGAGATATTGGAACACTGCTATCATGTCACCCCTACTCCTTCTCTTCATTAAAGTAGACATATCTAATTCCAGCAACTGTTTCTTATATGCTTTAGCCTCCAGTCCCCTAATCATCTTTGTTGCTCTTCTCTATACTCTTTCTAGAGTCTCAACAACTTTTTTACATCATGGTGACCAATGCTAGATGCAGTATTCCAAGTGTGGCCTTACCAAGGCATTGTAAAGTAGCATTAACACTTCACGTGATCTTGATTCTATCCCTCTGTTAATGCAGCCTAGCACTATGTTGGCCTTTTTGGCAGCTGCAGCACACTATTGGCTCATATTTATGTGATTGTCCACTAGGACTCTGAGATCTCTCTCACAGTTACTACTGTTGAGCAAGGTACCACCTATACTGTACCTGTGCATTTGGGGTTTTTTACCTTACTTTTTTTCACCACTGAATTTCATTTTGCTAGATAGCGCCCAGTGTTCAAATCTGTCAAGATCCTTCTGTATCTTCCTAAGTTTCTAAGAGGAGGGACACAAAAGGGACTTCTAAAGTTAGGAATAGTATGAATAATATAGTTTGGTGTAGTGGTTAAAGGCATCAGCTAGGCCAGGGGTCTGCAACCTTAACAACTTTAAGACTTATAGACTTCAACTCCCAGAATTCCTCAGCCGGCTGTTCTTCAGCCAGCTTCTGGGAGCTGAAGTCCACAAGTTTTAAAGTTGTCAAGGTTGCAGACCCCTGAGCTAGACACTGGGAGACTGTGACTTCTAGTCCCACCTTAGGCACCAAGCCATTTGGATGATTTTGGGCCAGCTACTCTCTCAGCCCTACCAAGAAAACTGCAGGGACTAGTCCAGGCAGTCACCAAGAGTCAACAATGACTTGGCACAAAATAAAATAATGAAGAAGTTGCCCAGTGGAAAGTCATTAATCCTTCATACAATGTATAATTAGTTTATGAAACTCTCGTTTGCAAGCTGATGCAATAATATTTTCAACCACTTCACTGTTAGTCTGGGTTGTCTAGCAGTGATTGTGTAAACTAATTTTGGTCAGAGGTAGCTGACGGAGAGCCCAACACCAGCTTCCTAGAGGCATCTGTTAATAATTAGCTGAATAGACCCTTGATACAACCATGTTCTTAGAAACTCAGAACTGCCTTTCAAAGGTGTCATGGAGACGGTCTCAACTTTTCATGGTATATCCTGTTGTTCTGATCTGACAAGTGAAACTTGCATAAAACATTTTTCCCTAGGCGGATCTCCTTTACGGTATCAGCACGAGGGGTTGTGATCAACTGAGAAATTATTTTCCAGACCCATTCATTCTATTGGTTACCTCAGCCAAGAATGATTTTGTAAGTTATTATAGAATTGAAAGACTCAAATAAAATGATCAAAAGCCTGGAGACTAAAACATGAAGAACGGCTGCGGGAGTTGGGTTTGGCTAGTCTAAAGAAGAGAAGAAATAGGAGAGACATGATAGCAGTATTCCAGTATTTGAAGGGCTGCCACCAAGAAGAGGGGGTCATGTTATTCACCAAAGCATCAGAGGGAAAGACGAGAAACAGTGGTTGGAAACTGATGAGAGAAGCAACCTTGAATTAAGGAGAAACTTCCTGACAGTGAGGACAATTAACCAGTGGAATAGCTTGCCTCCAGAAATCGTGGGTGCTCCATCACTGGAGATTTTTAAGAGGCTAGCTAGACAGTCACTTGTCTGAGATGGTATCGGTTCTCCTGCTTGAGCAGGGGGCTGGACTAGACTTCCAAGGTCCCTTCCAGCTCTATTCTATTCTAAGCTATTTGGGAAGAGCACAGAAGGCAAATACAATTATTACTGGTGCTTATACCACTGAGTATTCAAGTGCTGCTAAAATGATGTCCCTCAAGAGCCAGAAATGACTGATTGATGGAACAAAATTATGGGTAAGTTGAAAGTACTGATTAATTTACGATCTCTGCATGCATCTCCTACAGTTTTGGCTGGTTGTCAAAGCAAATTGCAAGTTTGTTTCAAATTGCTTTGGAGGAATTGGAGAGTGAAAATAGTGAGAGCTTGAAATTCCTCTGGGTCAAGTTCTTCGACAGTTGCCTCAACCAAAAATAATTATTGCAGGTAAGATTGTGACAGTTTTTAGTAAGATTTAATGAAAAGAAAGAGACAGGTACAATAATATCAGCAACTGAACAATTTCCGATTTAGAATACATTTATCCCCAAATACATTAGTGTAGAGATTTTCTGTTCATTGATGGCACAGGACCTTGCAGGTGGCTATTTACAAAATAATTTTTAAAATCTTATTAACTTTTTCAGGTGACTTCTAAATACAGATAGTCCTCGACTTACAACCACAATGGAGACCAAAGGTTCCACTGTTAAGAGAGAGAGAGTTAAGTGAATTTTGATCCATTTTCTGACTTCTGTTGCCACAGTTGTTAAGTGAATTGCTGCAGTTGTTAAATTAGTAACATGGTTGTTAAGTAAATCTGGCTTCCCCCATTGACTTTGCTTGTCAGAAGGTCACAAAAAGGGATCACATGACCCCCCCCCAGGACACTGCAAATCTCAAAAATACGAGTCAGTTGCCAAGTTGTCTGAGTTTTGATAACATGACACAGGGATGCTGCAGTAAATGTAAAAAACATCCTAAGTCACTTTTTTCAATGCTGTTGTAACTTCGAGCAGTCACTAAGTGAATGGATGTAAGTTGAGAACTACCTGTATAGCAGATGAGATACAACAAAACTGCAGATAATTGTTGCCAAATCCAGCTGGCCAACAAGCAGTTGCAACTGATAACGTTTAGCATGATTGTGGGAATGCACCTTTTGCCACTGATTTCTCTGGACAGTCTCCTGGGGATCACACATAATCTGTGGACCTGCTGTTTTAGGAAGGAATGCAGCACCATCCAGCCCGGTCTAAATCACAATACTGTAACAGTATTTCTTATTGACCCATAGCACAACAATCTCTTCTGTATTCAATTTATTCTCTCTCATCCAGTCCACTATTGACTAGGGCTGGCCATCTTCAAATGTACCAATAGAAGAGAATATTTGTAGTTCAAGGTTGAACTGCAGAGTCCTTGCTGCTCTTTGAGCTTGGTTTTCGTGCAGACATTTCATTACCAAACTAGATAACATCATCAGTGCACTGATGAAATCCGCCAAGCTCAGAGAGCACCAAGGACCCTGCAATCTTCAAGGATCCGTGCTATTTCTCTGAGGTTGAGTGGCAAGATACAGAGAACTAGGTATCATCGGCATATTTATCCCAAAGGCAACTGGACTTTCTTGGGGTTTTTTTTTTCTTTGAAAACATTTCGCTTCTCATCCAAGAAGCTACTTCAGTTCTTGGATGAGAAGTGAAACATTTCAAAGAAAAAGAAAAAAACCAAGGAAGTCCAGTTGCCTTTTGGAAAATGCACTTTTGGGACGACCATGACCTGGATGATTGAGAATCTTCATAGACATCATCATATTTACTGCAACTCTGAAGTTCCACATAATCACTCCTGGTAGCTTGATCTGCCTATGCGGCAAATATGGTACATAAGATGAAGAATAACTTCAATAAAAGGCTGGATATATTGTAAGCAAACGTTCCCCTGATGTATTCCTCGAATCCATTGAAGGAAAAAATAGGGAATTGGAAAACTCCCCTGCTTTAGAGTCATTAGGTCATTCACTTCGTTTTTTTTTTAATTCTACCTTCTGCAGCACTGCTTGTCAGCAAAACAATAAGGACATAAGCTTGTTCCCCATATTTGAACTCTCAACACAATCGTGGGATGAACTTACTCTGAAGCTTGTTTGTTACTTTTTAGATATATTCATTAAATTTATAGACTTATAGTCCAAATCCATTCCCTCTCACAGCATGTTCTGTAAAGGATGCTCTAGATCAGTGTTTCTCAACCTTGACAATTTTAAGGCATGTGGACTTCAACTCCCAGAATTCCACAGCCAGCATTGCTGGCTGTGGAATTCTGGGAGTTGAAGTCCACATGCCTTAAAATTGTCAAGGTTGAGAAACACTGATTTACAGGTACCAAGATGAATTTCCCTTTTCCCCCTATTTTTACTTCTCCCTTTCTTAGCTTGTCCGACTCTCCGGTTATCTAAATAGTTATTATTTTCAAAACAGATGCATTCATACTCCAAAGAATGAACTGTGTTGCTAATTCAAACCATCCAAAGTCAATCAACAGTTCTCAAATATGGCCACACCTCTATGGCAGCGTTTCTCAACCATGGCAACTTGAAGATGGGTGGACTTCAGCTCCCAGAATTCCCCAGCCAGCCATGGAATACACCTTCCCTGGAAATACACTCGATGTCTTCCTTTTTGGCTTTTAGGAAGTTCTGGAAAGCTTTCCTTATTCCTTTCAGGCTTAGTGGAGAAGAAGGAGATGGCCATATTTTCTTTGTCCATAATTATTTTTGTTGACACACAACTGATTTTAAGATCATTGTTGAGATTCTTGCACACTCTCCCAAAATCATGAGATTGAGGCGATACAAAATTAATAAATAAATAAGGAAAATGTATACTTTGGTATTTTTAAAGGGATAGCACTTCCACTAGATGCTGGTTGCTGCTTCAACGTACACCAGCCTATCGGAGGAAAAGTGCTCTGAGCTTTCAGTCTTGTTCTTTTTACAGAGTTTTTGGCAAGGAAAATCAGAACTGCTTGCAGAAAACAGAATCATTCAGGTACTATTTTCTACATAGAAGAATGTAGTGGTTTTTTTTTTTTCAAAACAAGATGCCGGATTGCTTCATGTTTTAAAAGAGTAGTTTGGTTATTCACACTTTTCATCCAGTAGTTTGGATCTCAGAAGCGCAAGGTTTAGAGTCTTCATCCTGGCTGAGCGTTGGCTTTTTATTCTAAACAGAACAAAAAAAAAAGTGAGCATACATTTAGCTTTATAAGCTTGAAGTTTTTGATTTCTGAAATTCAATCTATGAATAAGTCTTTTACAGAAAACTACTGAATAGTGCAGGAATCCTTACCAGGGAACAAGTTCACACCAGCCACTTAGTTAAATCTTACTTTGTTGAATAAATAATTACTGGTTAAAAATAATATCCCCATGTTCACCTGATCAAAATTTGGGCAGATGGCAAATGCTCTTCCCAGCTGGTTTCCAACAAGCAAACTCAACGGGGGGGGGGGGGAACCAAATTCTCTTAACAACCTCATCATTTTACTTAACAACTGCAGTGATTTGCTTAACAACCATGGCAAAAATGGGCGTGACTCACTGAACAACTGCCTTATTTAGCAATGGAAATTCTGGTCCCAATTGTGGTAAGCCAAAGGACTATCTGTATTTGTGCTTACACAACATTCTAAGCGAAACAAAACATGCCACTAAAATGGGGATAGAGATGCTGAGGAACATGTTATGTTTTCAGAGGTTGTCAGAGGAAGACCAATTGTGCCCAGTTAACAGGTCACCCCAACATAACCAGTGATACCTATTCCTTTTGAGGATGTCGCTTAATAGTAGAACAGAGGAATTGAACACAGAGAGGCTCAGATTCACTTGTTAGCAGCCATGGTTAAAAAAGGCTAGGAAAAAGGGCTTACTCAACACAACTTTACTTTCCAGAATTACAGGTAATCCTTATGGCCACAACTAAGCCCAAAATTTCTGTTGCTAAGTGAGACATTTGTTAAGTAAATGTTGCCCCATTTTACAACCTTTCTTGCCTCAGTTGTTAAGTGAATCATTGCAGTTGTTAAGTTAGTAACATGGTGGTTAACTGAATCTGGATTCTCCCATTGACTTTGCTTGTCACAAGGTCACAAAATGATCCCATGAGCCCAGGATAGTGCAACCGTCATAAATATGAATCAGTTACTATGTGTCTGAATTTTGATCACATGACCATGGGGATGCTGCAACGGTCATAAGTCACTCTTTTTCAGTGCCATTGTAACTTTGAATCGTCACTAAACAAATTGTTGTAAGTTGAGGATGCCAATTATTTTAGTGAGCCCTACTTACACGAAATTTAAGGTATGACAGGTAAGTGTCCCATCCTAGAGTGATGACATTCATGTAAATCACTCGATATTTGGGTGGCAGGAACAGAAAATTGATCAGCTGTGTTGGTGGCCACACACACCAGTCCATCTGCAAATGAAAAAAACTAAGTTAGTTACTCCATCCACAAACTCTGGGTCAGAAAGTAGGGAACAAAAACTAAGTTTACCTTGTAGAATTCCCAAAAGTTCTCCTCCAGGTCATGCCAGCTTTGCTCCAGAGTCTGTCCTTCCAAAGATCCAATCCCTGCAGATAATAACAAGGCAGATGGAAATATGAGGGATGTTCTTTGGCAACGGGGAACTAAAGGAACTGTATGTTATTCAGAGGAAGCCAAGCACAGAAGGGACAACAGAAATGCCACACCCTCTACTTCTGCTACCCCCACACAAGATCTGTAGCAAAAGCCCATATAGTTTCCCATCTACGATCCATTCATTTTTGCCCTCCATAGAATAGAAACTGTCCCACAGCTTTATGAATTTAGTCTTACCTATGAAATACCAAACTCCAAAGACTGGAGAGGCAACGATCTGATCAATGAGAACTTTTTTCAGGACGGTCCTGATGCCACTGAAGCCAGCAGCAGGGAAGGTCCTGTCTAGCCACAGGTACCAGTAGTGCAACATTGGGCCCATAGTGCAGCCGATGGCGAACATTCGTGCTGAAGGAGAAAATTTGCTCCATTAGCAAAACACAAAGGAACCATCATCAAATAACCAAGTAACAAAAACCCATGATGCATAAATAAGAGAAAATACAAAAAAAAAAAAAAAATCTACTACAAAATATAGGTAATCCTTGACTTATAATCATTCATTTAGTGATCATTCAGAGTTATAACAGCACTGAAAAAAGTGACTTATACTGGTTTTCACACTTATCACCATTGCAGTATCCTCATGGTCAAGATCAAAATTTGGGCGCTTGGAACTAATATATATTTATGACATTTGCACTGTCCCAGGGTTACGTGACCACCATTTATGACCTTCTCAGCCATTTCTGACAAGCAAACACATTGTGGAAAGCCAGCTTTGCTTAATGACCACACGATTCACTTAACAACTGCTATGATTCTCTTCACAATGATAGCAAAAAAGGTTGTAAAATGGGATGCGACTTACTTAACAACGGTCTTGCTTAGCAATGGAAATGTTGGACTTAATTGTGGTCATAAGCTGAGGACTACCATGAGAACACAAATTTACAAATTTACCATATATCTAACATATTGCGATGTTATAGTCTATAGCGATTTACTATAAAACCTTTACAGCTATTTACTATAAAACTATATAAATTTTAAACCATCTAAATTTGAATTATGAATCCTGCCTCTGATGTTTAATTATTTTAACTCTGCATTTCCCCCCCCCATGTAGCTAACTGAAGAGGCCTTATTAATCCACAACTCATTTATTATGTTATCTATTGGGCGATTATAATTTTAGCAGCTAAAATTAAGTAAATAATAAGTTCCTTACAGGACTGCTTGAGATTCAGACCTGTAAATAAACAAAAACAGCCTAATTTGAAAAGCATTAAATTCTTTATTTAGTAATGGTACTTAAATTTTACACCAAAAGAATATAGCTTTATCTCATGTCCATCCCAAATGGAAGATCAGCCAATTACAGTTTCAACAATAAAACATCCACAGTACAAATAACTTTACATCACAGTAATTGCTGTATGGATAAAATAATAAAACAACCAATCAAAAAGTGATAAAAACAGAAGACTGCATCTAAAAGGCCATCTTAAACAAATTCTCCCCACTTGCATCTGCCCATCCCATCTGATTCAGCAGAAGAGATATATTATAGGTCCTATATATTAAGGAATGTCATTTGGTGGGACCCAGGAGGAGAGCCATTTCTGCCATGGCACCCAGCCTTTGGAGCATCATCCCCACCACCCCTATGGAGGCTAGACTGGCTCCAATCCTACTTGTCTTTTGAAGGACTCTGAAGACATGGTTTTGTGCTTGGGGAGCCAATTGTGGTATAAAGCCTGCTAGATGGTTGCTTTGACTGACAATTGACTAGTACTTTCCCACTATTTACGGTTTTTTTAATTCTTTTTTTAAATTTGTTCTCATTTGTATTCTTTTTGTTTGCGGGGGCTGCTTTTAATTATGTGAGCCACCCAGACTCATAAATGTAAGACAAGTGGCAACACAAATGGAATAAAAACTCCCTTTTTACAACCCTGTAATCCCTTAATTGAATGAATAAATAAAAATGTCCCAAGACTCAGCAAGGTAGACATTCAGCAGAATTCAGGGGGCAGGAAGTTTCATATCAGTCCTGCTCCTACAGAAAAACATTTGAGGCCTTCAGCCTCCTAATTTCCTGGAAATGGGGACTAGTAATAGATTTTTCTGGAGAGCTCTTCATTCAAGCAGATTGAGTGGAGATGTCCTAGAGATATCTCAAGGTCAAGCCATGAAACATTTTAAAGGTTAAAGCCAGCAGTTAACATGACATAAACTGACCTGTCCGTGCACGATCCCATTTTTGTTTAGAGTCCTTCTTTATCTCCCAGGACTGGCGAAATGCATCTCCTGTTGCTAGAAGCCCTCCACAACTGACTGTATTGGTTACCAGCAGGAGGCGGCCTCTGAAGAGAGGCTTCCAGTAGACAGAAAGTCCAGAGAAAATTTGTCTGCCAAGACCAAGCATGGCTGCTCTCCAAGAATGAGGTGAAAGGGAGCTGTAGAAGGAAAACAAAAGGAAAAGCATGCTTCTGAGGGCCAAGCACATTTGTGTCTGTTACCCATTCACTCCACACTTTAAGTAATTCTATGCATTTTCCCTGAATTAAATCCCCCATAGGATTTGTTTTGAATAAAAGGATTAAGAGTAGGGCTCCCTGAAGACTGATTTCTTTCTAAGTGCCAAAGGCACTAAGTAGTCCTCATTGAGCGACTGTTCACAGTTACAGAAGTGAAGAAAAAGTAACTTGGTGACCAGTCTTGGTGACATTTACAAACGACCCTGAAAGGTTGTAAAGCAAAGGAACATTTAAGTAAGATCATATGCACAGTTGTGATTTGACTCGGCGCTTGAGTTGTCAGTTCCAATTGTGGTTGCTAAACAAGGACTACCTGTATGCTGTTGACACCTGTAGACAATTTAGGTAAAACCAATACATAGAGTTTTCCCTTTGGGGAGTGCTAGGAGGAGCAACATCTCCCGAACCCCCACTTGCTGTATACCAAAGAAAGGATTCATCCCATGCTTTCCAATCTCCAATCATACTTTTCAAATTTAGCTATGCTGTTGCAATTTAATCTTGTTATAATGTATAGACCTTCCTGGACACTGTTTCAGATTTTGGAGCACTTGTTACATCATTACAGGAGATTATAAATTCCAATAGACCAAAATTTCTTAAGGTGTAGACCTAGGACCCCCGAGGATCCCCAAGGTCCTCTCAGGGTCCTTAAAATCAAAATTATTTGCCAACTATGTTGAAAAATCACATTATTAAAATCCCATCAAAGAATAGAGAAGCAGTCAGGACAGCCAATGTATCAATTTAAAATTTTAGTATATTTTATTATTTGTTTGCTGCCCATCTCTCCCCGATATGGCAAATATCAATAAATAGAAACAAAAGCTCTTTTGGGATCCTCTGTAATTTTTAAAAGAGGAAAGGGAGAAATAAGTTTAAAAAACACTGCAGTAGACAATAACGGGGAAGGTATCCCGGTTTTGTGAATAAGACCCTCACTGCATATTTTGGGACACAAGCATCCGGGTGCACTCTGCTCGTGCTCAAAGCGACAACTTTTTCCACTGAGCGAGAGGAAACATGCACCTATGAAGAAGAACCTGCCCGTGGCCAGCCACAACCCCTCTCCACCTTTCTGGAACTAATTTGGACTTTGCCCAAACGTCCCGAGACTGAGCCCGGGCACCAGGGGGCTCCTCACCAAAGGGAGAGAAGAGTAAGGAGATCTTGATTCATCTCTTGTCCCAATAGGTTAGGCTTTGTCGGGGCTGCTCACCAATCTCAGTCAAGGGTTGCGCTTTTTTGCAACGGCGGAAGGGCCAAGAGCGCAGGAAAGCGGAGGACGAAACCGGCCGGCATGAAGCAACAGCGAGTCACATGTACGAGCTTACCAGTCTATTACAGCTACTAGACCGGAAGTAGGTTCGATCCCCACTGGTGGGGGCTACAGGGACTCACAGAATGGGTTTAATAATTAAAACGGCTAAGCCAGTCCCGCTACTTGCCTTGGAAAATAAATGGAAAACTTAATAAAAACAGAGCAGCGCTCTGCGCATGCGCCAAGTCTGGCCGCCGACCGAAAACCTGAGTGAGCCGGAAGTGAGAATTTTCCGCTACGAAATGAAGTGACAAGAGAAATGAGTGAACCGAGATGTTCCCTGAAAGTGGGACGCTCTAGTTTCCGTGCTTCCGCCTTTCGGGTGGCTCAGGCGGTCCCTTCCCACTGGGCTCCAGAACGCATGCGCTGAGACTTATTTGTTTGATGGGTGGGAAAGTCGTGAGTTTGTTCGACGGACATGGCGGGAAAGGCGCCGCTTGGCGGGTAAGAGGGTGGAGAGAAGGATGGATAGTTTGGGGTTTGATTTTCCTTTCACCCAAGTTAATTTATCTTTCTAGGCAGCCTGGAACGACTGAGATGGAAACGGGTGCCCGACCGAAACAGAGAGGTGAGTAATGGCGTTGGAGAGTAGATTTCATGGTCCAAAACCAGCAGCCGATCCACTGCACAAGCTGTCGGAGCTTAATATCAGAGCTTTGCACAGGGGTCTTTCTGTGGAGTCGAGTGCTTGGTCTCAGCATTGTTCCATAAAGAGTCCGGGAGTCTCTGGGAAAGCTGCTTGTCTCGTGGTTAATAATGGTACGAATGTAAATTTGCTCTCATTGGTTCTCTTTCCATTTTTCCTCTGTCAGGGGGAAGAATTGTGCCATCTCGTTACCTGCAGTATGATAAAAAAGCAAGTGGAAAGGTGAGTCTAAATTTAGAAACATTGCTCCATAGCAGTGATTTTTTTAAACTTGGCAATTTGAGATGTGTGGATTTCAACATCCAAATTCTCCAGCCTGTATGAAAAACACTGTTCTATGGCTTTATGGAGAGTTACTTTGGTTTCTGGCCTGTCTGCTAATTTTTTTAAAATGAAAATTTCAAATTACTGCTTTCTTTGTGTTAAGGGAGCTTTTTTATCTGATTAAAGCTCTGTAGGTTTCAAGGGCTCTTTTAAATTTTAGATTTGTTTATAATTGTTATCTGAGCGAATGCAAAACCTTTATTGTCATGTCTATTAGAGTGTGAGCCTGCAGGAACAAGTTTCATGTTTTAATTAGTATACAACAGAAAACATCAGAGAATTCATAAATAATACTGACAGAAAATAAATTGCTATTTCCAAGAGGCAACATTTAGGAAAAACTTTCAGGAATGCAAAAAAAATTATGAGGGACCTATTTTGTTTTATATATACAAAGAAATAATGTAGCTATATTACATGCTACATTTCTTATAACAAAAAAAAAAATAAGGAAAGTTAAGTTCATGAAACTGAAAACTATCTCAGAAAAGGACCCTCTATATCAGTGGTTCTCAACCTTTCTAATGCCGCGACCCCATGATACAGTTCCCCATGTTGTGGTGACCCCCAACCACTTATATATCACTGGGTGCCAGGGGCGTGGCCAAAGAAAAGGGGAAAAAATGGCGGACAGCCTTGTTTGGCAAACCCTGTGAAATGGTCATTCGACCCCAAATGGGGTCCCGACCCACAGGTTGAGAACCACTGCTCTATATCAATATATTTTACTGTTTCCTATTATTGATAACTACCTATTGTTTTGATAACTACCTAAAATGTAAAAACAATTTTATTCCCAAACAGTAGCAATCAAATAAGACTGAATTGTTTAGTTTCAACATGAATATATTTAACTGGCAGGGCACCTCAAACACCAGCTTGTTCCTTGCAAAAGATCTAGGAAATGTTGGATCTCCAAAGAGACCTGTTCAGCTTCAGAAATTCAAGACTTCAGTAGGTAAATTTCACTTTACACAATCCAGAAGTGTTCCCTGCATTTTTTTACCAAATGTCTACAGTTTGCACTTTCTAGAATCCAGGCAGCTGTGGAATATTCAGAGAAACAATATGAAGAACATTTAGGTACCCTGTGGTCCTCCGGCCATGGATATAGGTTCAGAATTCTATTGCAGAGTTGGCTATATAGGAAAGCTTGTCTGCCGTTATTACTATTGTAACTGAAGAAGTATGGGGAAAACTCCTGATGGCAACGTTTTGGCAACAGTACAAGATGAACATAATATTCCACCTGGTAAGGGTTTATATAAAATCCCAAAATTCATTTTTGAACATACTTGAAAAGTGTTCATTTGGACATTGGATTCTCTTTCTTTAGGCTTCTAGCCTGCAGGGATTCTCTTTTTGTCCTGAATGCATTTAGTAAGGGCCTGTTCAACTTATGAATTGCTCTACACCTTTCCTTGGCCTCCTGGTTGTCTCATCTCTGAGGAAGTACTCACCTTCTAGGATTTAGATCAGTTTTGATTGTGGGCAGTAGGAGCTAATGTAAAACTTCATTGCAACATATGGTAGCTTTTAGAGAGGAACATTGTGGGGACTGTATTTAATTCTGCAATCCTTACTTGAAACATCACCCTTTCTATGTCGTCATTTCAGTGGAACTTCTTTTAAAGCTTAATTCCAGGATTTTTTTAATGAAAGGTACCAATAACATATATAATTGCTTCTCATTTAAAAAAATCCTAATGGATATACAGTATGTGCCTGAAAGAGAAAGACAGAATATGGGGGTATGTGTGAAAAAGTATTAAAAGTCATCTGGTGTACAGGGTGTCAATGTCCACTTGAATCAATAGTCAGGATAGTAGGATACTGCTAGGATACAACTTTCTTTGAGTGAGTTCAACTCTTTGGTCAAAAATAGGCTCCTTACCTCGAGCAGAAGCAACGAGTGGAAACTAACCAAAGAGAGAAGCAACCTAGAACTAAGGAGAAACTTCCTGACAGTTAGAACAATTAACCAGTGGAACAACCTGCCTCCAGAAGCGATGAATGCTCCAACACTGGAAGTTTTTAAGAAGAAACTGGACAGCCATTTGTCCGAAATGGTATAGGGTTTTCTGCCTGAGCAGGGGGTTGGACTAGATGACCTGCAAGGTCCCTTCCAACTTTATCATTATTATTATTATTAATTAATCAAAATAATCGGAATCCCAAAAGAAAAACCTCTTCACTCTTTTTTCTGCAGATTCTACACCTAGTATATTACACTCAACCTTTCTGGATAGCCATGAGAGTACTCGACCTGAATTGGAGGTTTCAGCTATTAATGGTATGTGCGCTACTTGAATGTAAGTTTAGTAGCAATAAAATAGGCTTATGATTTTATTCCAAAAATTATACAAAAATCTATTTTTAAATTGAATTACAAGCACTCAAGATTACATATTTTAATGTCACACCAAGTTTTTTTTAAACAGAATGAGTCGATCAAATCCAAATGAGCTGTTTGGATCGATTAATATTTGCTTTTGTTACTTAGACACCCCTGTCTAACATGACTTTGCATCCCTGAGTTTTGCCTTTAATTACCACTGGCAATATGGAATCCAGTTCATATCCTTTATTTGCATCTCCATCTTCGTGCTTTCAGAGAAAAGATTTGATGGTTCCTATTTGATGGTTAGGAGAAAGTATTTCTGTAAACAGAGCTTACTGTACAGAATGGAATATCAGTGTTTGTTGGCATTCCTTCTATGTTGTTAAAATGCCAAAGAAGCAGTTTACTATATGTCATTCTTGTTTTCAACATTCAAATTTTCTACCCATAGATTCTAAGTAGATACCTGAAAAATATTAGGACAAAGTAACTGATCTCTTTCCTTTACCCAACTGTCTTTGATTGCCTTTTTACTTTCAGAAAAAAGCCGCTATAAGACACCAGTTTCAAAGCTCCATATAAAAGGCACTTCCAAAAAAAAGCAGGTTTTGGTAAGTAAAGCAACTTAATTGTTGGCTATAAAGTGAACTTTGAATAAGTAATACTGAGCAATAGGGACCGTGTTCTGAGACCTCCTGTGGCATCTTTTGATACTGGAATAAGATGAATTATTTCCTGGGCCTGAGCTCTCATATACCAATTTCCACTGTGTTTGTGATAATTATCTCCTTTAACATCCTTTCTAGAGATGCCTTCAATTACTTGATGCTATGTGAGGAATTTATTCAGCATAATTCATGAGGAGAAATATGGATGTAGTAAGTTATATTGGCCACTAATCTAGATGCTTAACTGGATTTGGACTATTGTAGTGCACTCTGTATGGGAGCTGCCTTGAAGACCGTTTGGAAGACTCTGTTTTGTTAGTCAGACTAGTTACTAGTCCATGCAAGTCAAGGTGCTGGTTGTCACCTATAACATGGCATAGCATGTTACGTGAAAGAGACTATTGATTTTCCATAATTTCTGCATGCTCTGGGTTCTACTGGTGAAATGGTGATATCTAATAGGATCCAGGAAGCAGGCCTTCTCTATCATGGCATCTGCCCTCTGGACTGACATTTCTCCAAAGATCTGCTTGGTCTCCATGCTGACCTTATATAAATGAGCTCTTCAACTTGGCTTTTCTCCAGGCCTTGGGCTAGAGTAGGTGGCAGACTTGTTATGGGATGATTGGTTTCTTAGATTCTGTTGGTGGTGGAGGTTTTTATTTTTGGTCTTTCCTTTCTGAGTTTTCTATGTCACCAATTTACATTGTTTTGAATTGTATACTGCCCAAAATCATGAGGGAGCAACCAAGGAATCAAATAATTAAAAGAGGAAATATGAAATTAATAGAAGCTACCAGTGGCTACTTCTTAAAGGTAGTCTTCCCAGAACTAGCCGCTGTGGGATATTTATTTAAAAGGCAGAATAGGCTTTTGGTGTGCCTCAGCTGGACCATCTTAATGGTGATCAAGTATTTAAACTTCTAGTGCATATTGAAAAAGGAGGACTGTATTCAACTTTTCAAAATAGTCTGATTACTGCAATATCCATATTGCAATATGACAATATTACAATAAAAGATCTGTAAGCCACATTCACTGTGCTATGTGAATTTTATATCTCTCTAAATATTTTTTTAGTATCGTTGCTTTGACTGCAGAAAAAAAAATCTAACTTTTAATAAAATTGATGCCATAGTTCAGGTTATATGCTGTACAGATTTTCTATGACAAATGAAA